CGGGCCCCCCGCCTTGGGCTCCCCCCCCCCCCCCCCCCCCCTCTAACCCCGCTTGTTTTTCGTACCCCCAGGTATGGGAGACTACACCACTGTGTATGATCTCTTTTTGCAGCAGTCGTACGCCTTCGTGCTAGAGTGGATTTTCGGCATGGGGGAGGAAGGCGGCCAACCCCTCCCTCCGTACAAGGACTTCCTCACTGTGAACCCTGCCGATCTCTCCGTGTGAGTATTTTCAGTTGTAGCTTTGCCAACTGGAGGGTCTCTCGCCGTACTGGTGTACCCTCTGCTGGTTAATGGTTGCCATTGCACACTTTCTTCTGCTTTCAATACAACCGCAGGAGGAACAGTAGGCCTTTCTGTCAGCTCTTGTGTGTCCTTCCTCTTGTATGACCCCGGCTGATATGACGTGCACGTACGCCTATTGGTGTGTGGACTGGCGGGGCGGAGTAAGCGGGACGAACACACCCACGCAAGCACCCTGCACGCTGGAAGCATCGCGAAGGGAAACCCATAAGTGTGACCTCCGATCGGAGCCCTTAGTTCGAGCAGCCTAGACCACAGGCTGTTCGGTAAACGAGTGCCCATAAATAGCACCAACGGACGGGAGAAATCGTGTTTTGCACCCCCCTCGCGGTCGATGGTCTTAACAACGAAGGCACACAAAGAGCGTGAGTATTCCACCAATGCTGACGTTCTCCTTCCGTCACTTGCTGTTGCAGGCTGATCGGGCTGGAGGTCGACACCCCCGTGGCAAACCTCGTGTCCATGGTGGCTCAGGCCGTCGCGGGCGGCGTATCCTCGGAAGAGAAGGCCTCCATCGAGGTCCTTCTGGAGGCCATCCGCTCGTCCAAGATGTGGCCGTCCTTCACCAAGATGCTCGAGGAGAGCGGGGTAAGCGCGCCCCCCGCGCCGCGCGAATGATATTTTATTTTGACAGCATTGGTCGACGGCACGTGGCTTTCCGTCGGCCACCAGTATTCGGCGCCGTCCTTGGTGTTTCCCTCTCTTTTTCTCGATGCCTTGTTGTGGGAATTTGGCGACGTGTTGACGCACGCGACAACCGCACTATGTCGAGAGCTGTACACTTGTTACCTCGCCAACCACTTGGAGAAAATATCACGCAAGTAACCGCCCGGCCCCCGCGTTTACACCCACACGTCATGCTTGCGTTCGAACGGAAACCCAGCTGCCCACGCAGGACATGGATAAAATGTTCATGTTCTTCTCGGGCTTCCAGTCATCCTCGGCCCTGGCCAAGAACATGGAATACTGCGTCGGCTCGCTCGCGGCGAACCCGGATTTCCTGGCGGAGCTGAGGGCGGAACTCGACGGCCAGGTACAGCAGTGGTAGCGACTTGGGCGTAAAAGAGAGATTATGAAAGAGAAAAGTATGGGTTCAAGAGGGTAAACCGTGTTCTGTGCCGGCCGAGGGACTTTCCACATATATTTTCTAAGATACGGTTTAGAAGAAAATCGTTTTGTGGCTTGTCCCCTCTGTAAAAGCCTCTGCTGTAGGTATCAATTGCAACCTTCATTGCAACCAAAAATGGCTTTTACGCGTCTCGCAGGCAGCGCCCCCTGTAACGCTGGCTGAGGAGAGACCGCAATAATTGGTGGGGTGTATCGTACTGGAGACCGCGTGCCTTATCCACCATCTGAGCTAGCCCCACACTCTGGTATTATTTACCCAGCTGAAGCAATGTGAGATGTATTGAGGGTGGCAACCGTGGCTCCGTAACGCGGACTAACCCGCGGCCGCAAACCCTGGCCCCAGAAAACCAGCAACCTCATCCAGGGTTACGGAAGCACTCGACGAAAAGTGTTCCAACCCATTACCAGAAGATATTCAAACAATTGCCGCTTTAAGATTGCGGCCCAAATCGCTTGTCCGGGTTAGTACGAGCGCGCACCGAGGTTTTGCCGTGTGAGCTCGCACGATCATTGCCTTGGCAACAAGGATCGCAATACCCCAGGCTGGCTGCACGAGATGTCACGCTCCTTGGACCGATTTTCAAAGCCTAAGGGCTCTGCAGGAAACGTCGGTGGCGGTGCCCAAAATGGCGGCGTTGGAACCGTCTCTCTCCTTCGAGAGGTTTTCCGAGGGCGTATCACTTGACGTGAGCATCCTCTTCGTCGTGGAACAATCGGGTTTCAAAACTCTGTCCTCTGGGGGTGATGTCTTCGGCAGCCCACGGGTGGTTGCCTTTGGCATGGTACATATGAAACGAATCCTTTTGGGCCGCCATTCCGACGCGCGTGTCTTCATCGCCGTCGCCCTCCTTTTGTTTTGTTTCATCGAGAGAGAAGGAGCTGACGATCAAGTCGGTGTCCGATGCGAAGCGCTTCCCCCTCCTGGACAGCTTCCACTGGGAGATCCTCCGCCTGTACCCCGCCCCCCAGTTCTTCTTCAAGACCGCACAGATGGATCTTGTGGTGCCCACCAGCTCGGGGGCAAGGTACCAGGTGAGTAATGCCCGCGTGCGCTGCTTGCATTTGTAGCGGATCTTCGTGGTACCCGCATGCCCACCGGGGACCATTGAACAGCAGTCGCGTGGTGCCTCGGCGTCTCGGCGTAGCCTAAAATTTGCTCGGCATGTCGGCATGGCCTAGAAAGCGGTTCGGTTCCCGCGATCCGCAGTCCTTGCTAGGCTTCGCGCGTCTGTGATGGTGTTTCGTAGTCGCGTGTGGATTGGGGATCTTTGAAGCGATCATGGGATGCCTCAGCACGCCCTACAGAATCGCGTTGTTTTTTGTGGATCCGTCCGTGCGAAAAGCCGCGCAGACCCCGACGGAGACTAGTCGTTTTGACTCCAAACTACAAAGCGTTGTCGAGTCTGACACACACTGCAGCGAGGTCGACCAGCACAAACTGACGGCGTTAATTGTGACGGTTTTGCGCGAAACGTTCCTGGTTTCCGCAGGTCCGGAAGGGCGACATGCTGTGCTGCCACCACCCTTTGATTCACATCGACGAGGCGGTCTTCGGGGCCGACGCCACGGAGTTCAAGCCCAAGCGCTTTATCGGGAACCCCGGCCTGAAAGATGATGTGAGTGTTTTTCCTGCTGCTGTTGTCGTTGATGATGGTGACAATGATGGCAATACATCTGTCGGTAGTCGTTGCGCGTGTAGTTTCTTCCACATACGTTTCTGGCTTGAGCTTTTTTTACGAGGGAAAAGTCGTTTTGTCCCGTATGCGGCAGCATGAACAATATGAATTTCCAATACTGTCGTATCGTTTGCCTTTTGGTAAGCATTCTCCCAGAGGCGCCCCCTCTACGCTTCCTGTGAGGAATAAATTGCGCGTGGCAGGGTGGCCGCAACGTAGCGTGTTCGGCATCTACCGCTGGTCATCATTCAGATTCGCTACATATGTTGTCCTATTCGCACTCTATGTTGGCCACGACGATTTCTAGATTTTTTCTGTTCACGTTCCTTCGGCTGATAATTCGATTTGCCAGCTCGGAACGAAAACGCCCTGACTAGAGCCGGGCGGTGCCGCGTGTGCGGCACATGCCCCTTTCTCCAAACGCAGCCCAACCATTCCTCTTGGTGCCCACCGAGTGCTCTTGTTCGCTTGGACAGGAACCAGAGCCAGACCGTACTGTGGTGCATACGCTTCACTAACACGGTGCTCGCTGCAGGTAGCGCGTGACCGTAAAGTCTCCAGACCATCGCGTCAATATCTAGCGTCTACTCTTGGCTTGGAGGAGCTTGACTCTACACATTCCGGTGGCGACGTCTCTGTCGTCCCTTCGTTGATGCCGTCCGATTTTGTTTTTTCCTCTCTCCCGACTTGCCGCACGAAAGGTGTTCGCCTATGCTTTCCCCAAGCCGTCGGAGCCGGGGCGGGTGGGGGGCATGCCCTGGGGCTGCGCGGCGCACACGGTCGGTGTGCTCGACGGCATCCTCAAGGTGTTCTACGGCAGGTGAGCCAACAAGTGTACATCGATGCGCTGTACGTTTTTGGGTTGGAGTGGGCAAGGTTTTTTGCCATCCCTTCTGGTCAAGACCTTCCGCCCAGAGCTTGTGGAGCAAATGAAAAGTACGCCCATTACAATACTAGATAGGGCGGGGCCGTCAGTCGGTGCTCTACAGGTATAGGTCTTGGTTGGGTTGAGAAGGAGGGATATTTATGCTTCCCGGTATTCAAGTTTTTGGGGGCCCTGCATGGTGTTGAAACAGGTCAATATATAGAGCCTGTGTTTTCCTCCTCGGATGAGGGGAAAAACGGTCGTACTTCGCGCTCCGCCGTTAATTACAAAAACTCTTTCTGTAAGGGTGTGGCAGGACATTATTGTCTATTTTCCGCTTTCACATACAGTACACGGAGCTGAAGCTCAAGGCAACTATTCGCAGCGTTGTTTGGTCCATGAGCAGTAATCGAATTGTGTCAAACCTTGCCGATTCTTCGACGGCGCTTCCCGGCCCTCCAACTAACACCCCCATCAAACGAAAACGAATGTGCCAGCAAGCTTCCTCGGCAGTAATCTACCCCTGCTTTGCCGTTTTTCCTACGTTTCTCATCATCTGTCGTTGACGACGGTTTCCCTGTTGCATTGTTTTTGAAAGGTGGGTACAAGAAGCGGAGTGGGAGATGAAGGAGCCGCCGATAATCGACCCCGTGGAATATCTAGGCGTGGTGGGGCCCGACGGATTGGGATTCGCCAAGGTCACACCCCGCAAGTAACAGGTGGTGTTGAGGAAAATAGGACCATCACATACGGGGAACTCGATCGATTCCCTGCTTTGTGGAGGTCGGGTTCTCGGCCCTGTCTTTATTTCTTTTGAACAAATTAATTTGCGTCGCAGATAAGTCACCTGTTGAGAAGTTATTTGAATGAGTGTGTGTTGGGAGTTGTCACAACCAGGGATGTATTTTTGGACATTTGTGTATCTCCATGATTTATTTGCTTGTGTTGTTTACTTCGTGTGTCTACCCGCACGAAGGATCGCGTTCGGGTAAAATATTTTTGTATTGTGTGACGATTCGCGGGTGGATAATGCATGCCGAACCTGACGGTGAACATGGAGTCTTTGCACGTGGGTGTGCCTTATTGGTGTCTCGGTGTTGACGAAGAGAGAGTGGGCGACGGTGCAAACAAAATGCGCGTGCATGTTTGGCAGAGGGGTGAAGAAAGGCGCCTAGGGTACATTATGTAGAGGTTGGGAGAGCGCGTAAGGAGCGTGTACCCCGTAACCTTCCTCACAACGAAGACACGAACTGTAGCTAGTTTTTTGGTTCTTTCATACCGTACATCAATAGATTCACTTTTTTTTCGAACACTGGCTGTATCGATGCGTTCAGCTACATATAGGGGGTTCAAGAAGCGCCGGCGGAATACGGCCGTACGCACGTTTGACGAGCAGGTTCTGGGAAGGTTACCTCCATGGCCTGAGCTACGAAATCAGCACGAAACGTCGGGGTTATTTTTTTCAGGGCGAGGGGGGGGAGGAGATTCGAGAGATGACGAATTATGTCGTTAGGTATATCAAGTTTGCATTGGTCGTGACGTTCTCGCATTAAGTGGTAACGACGGAAGCAGTAGTTGAACCCGTGGTTTTCGAAAAGCGGTCTCCTACCTTCTACCCGTAAGCTCTAGCCCTGGTGTGGGCCGGCGGACTTGGGGCTGCTGTTTGGATTTCAAGAGCCAAGATACGACGGGAAGGGAGAGAGAAGGAGGCCCCAACACTTCGACTGACAACGTGGACTCCGCGCATCATCCAAAGCCTCTCACCACATGCCCTCCAGGTTCATCCCAACTGCGTCCTATGTAACGACTACTTCCGACCTATCTACTTCCACGCACGAACACCTGCCCTGTTTCTTTTCGCCATTGAAGAATCACTCGTGCGTCGAACATACGCGAACATGACCGAAACACAAAAAAAAAACAAAAAAAAACAGGGGAAACCCGGCCACCGGATCAAAACCCCTCAGAAATCCAACGCCTTAGCACCGTTCATATCACGAAATATTCCAACGGTTGTACTGCAAGATTGAGGCAAGACAACACCATACCACCGCCCCCACGGCTCGCTGTACGCGCCCACGCGCGGGTGACTTGACGAAATCTTTCCTTGCGCTGCACAACAACACCACCCCATGGCGAAGTTGTGCGACGACCTTGCTTGGCCGAAATAATTACCAACAAGTTTGTACTCTTGTGCTGTCTGCTTTTCAAACGAAGAAACACTGATAATGCTTGCGCAACACAGTCAGTCCCTGCAATAGTTGGGCAAAAACGCCGGCTCTGGTGTGTGTGCCATTTAACTTGCGCGCCTCACTGGGGTGGTAGCGCTTTTCCTTTCTTCACAACCGATATAGAACGAAGGTGACCCTTGACGAGATTCCAACTCCTGGGTATATTTTAATTCGTTAGATGGTCTTATCCACCAGCTACTCAGTCAGCTGACTGCCCTGGAGGCACATACACACGGCAGGCATCCAAAATTTGCTGAACGAAACAGACACATGATACAGCCTGACTCCAAACGTGGAAATACGACCGATACCGATTCTTCTTCAGGTATCACACCCCCACATGCAGCGCCCTCCCTGCCTACCTGCATTCAACATAAACTGCACCAGGCAGTTTAATTCTTCCTGTTCTGGGATCAACAAGTCACGCTCCCACAAGAAATCAACAAGTACAATCTGTTTCAACTGAAGAACCAATCAAACACAACCGATAACTGACCTTTTTCCAGAAATAAACCAGCTTGTTTCAAACAAGGGTTCATCATCGGCAAACACAGTCAAAATGTCTCCCCTCAGTTCTCCTTCAACCAAGAATGAATGCATCTCAACTTGCCACTGAATCTTCAAGCACAACTATGCACACGCAAACACAACTGAACTGAAAGCAAACGAAGTCATCGCTACGTGTGATGGTTGTCCGCAGCTCTTTCCCGTTGGCAAAGCCTCATGCGGTCTCACCGTAAAAACGTTCGAACTTTAGCAATATATAGCTCCGTTAAGAGCGGCGGCGATACACACACGTAGCAAAGTCCGCCGCTCTTGGCAACGCAAATCGGATTCCCGCACGTCTCAGGCTTTGGTTGCTGTGGCGTTGCCGCCACCCCGGCGCACGCCGTTCGTTGCATCATCAGCTGCTGGAACCTCGCATATATATTATGCAAAATTGCGGGAAAAACTCTCAATCGCGTAGCTGTCATGCCGGTGCTTCATCGGGTGTGACCTTGCCAACACCTTTGAAGTCTCGGGACCTTCGGGAGCGCTGCAAACAATCCCGCAGCAAACAATCCCGGCGCTATGGCTCCAACAACACACCCCAGCGCTGCTTGCTGTACCTCCAGACCAATCATCATCACCTTCGTTCTCCGACTGTGAACCAACGCCGGACGGTGCTGACTTCGCCGCCGTTGCCAGGCCCAGGCAATGGTTTCCGCACGAAAGAAAGTGGGAGGTTTCAGTTCGTGGTCACAAAGTAGTAGTTAATGGCCCCGCCCCGGTGTTTGCGGGCCTTTTCGTTGGTCAGGCGTCTTCGGCGTAGGTCCCAATCAAAATGAAGCGCGCCGAACGGTTGACCCCTGTCAGAATCACACATACCCGCCGCACTTACTTGGCCGCACCGCTCTTTGCCGAAAATTTGATGTACTGGAGAGGTACTATGTACAGCACATACATACATACATGTATTTTGTTGGCTACAGCAGCAGTGTTGCCACAGCCCGCAGTAGTGTCGTCGGCCTGTGACCATAGGCTACTACTGCTGTATGCTGCTGAGATCACTGATCTTCTATGCGGAAGAACAGCAGCAGTAGTCTAGACTATGCATCAATCAGCCGCCGGGCCGGCCGACATGAACGTGTGCCGCTCATGTTCGGCACTTCTCTCTAGGCTGGCGTCCAAGTCCCATCCGCCCCTCCTTATTATGTTAAGCAAGACACCAGAGTGTATGCCCCATCATTATCAGCTGCGCACACGCGATTGCAAGCGATCTCAAACCGGGGGCATCTGGAGACAACCCCGGGTTTACAGTTTAGAGTGGTGGAAGGTTCTCACAACGTACTCTAGACAACAACAACAGAGCGGAGCCCGTTTGTCAAGACAAACATGTAGACCGTCCGCATCTGTGTTACTGGTTCGCAGATCTCGCTTCGAGAACCGGCTGGAAACCCCTACACCTCCCTTATGATCTTGCGTCTCCCCCAGGCGTCACGTCACACGCCGCCGCCTCGGCACATACTAAGTGCTTCTTCTTCCTCTCTCGTCAGCCACAAGATCTAGACAGCGGGTCACTTGAAGGTGAAGAATCTATCCGGGTTCCGCGTATGAAAATTACTTCCAATGGAGAAGGAACGATGTCAACAAGGGACAGCTGTATAGGTTGTACACGTGGTGTAGCGCTCCCCGCTGCAGTTGCAGTGTGTGCAGCACCGGCCTTTGCATGCGACACACCTCCTTGCCCATGGTGGATCCGTCGAAGTCTCTCTGATTTCCGGCCGTAGCACCCTCACCAACCGAACATGCCGTGCTAGTGCCTGGCCCTGAATCCTCATGGCGGCTGCTGTGACGATGGGGGTGGATCGTAATTGGGTGTGCGGTGTAACATGTTCAACAATCATTGTGTACATACTCGTGTACATCTCCAGACTGATCATCGACGCGCTGACAGCTGAGTCTGCACCACATCTGCTTTGCTCCCCGCTTCGCTTGCACGAAGCTAGCCCCCAGTCCACGATCGCTCCAGCAGCTTCGTTCCCACCTTCCAATCTTTCTTGCGCGTGCGCATGCGTCGGGCGCACGACCCAGGATTCAGCTCGGGACCAATACCACCGCACCGGTACGCAGGGGCGACACACCACCGCACCCGCCGAGCACACAGCAGCAGCAGCAGGCACCATCATGTCGGGGTTCCCTCCGCCATCAAACAGCCTCCCCCCGGTCAACATCGGGCAGTCTGCGTCTACCGCCGGTGGCGGCGGGTCGGTCGACGGCTCGTCGACAGCGGGCAGCACAACAACCGCGGGCACCAGCACCACTGCCGCCGCCGTGGCCGACATGACGAGCATTGTGTCCGGGGGCGGGGAGCTGTATGGCAACATGATGGTCGGCAGCCTTCCCGCGATGGGGGGAGGCCTTGGTGAATCGGCACCGCCGTCGCCGGAGCTTGGACCGGTGAGAGATGCCCCTTCTTCTTTTTTTTTTTACCACGCGCTTGACGAACACGCCTGCCGCACGTGTTCCATACATACAGCAGTCGTTGATATGTTTTGGTGTCAGGTGTGGTGGTGTATACTATGTAAGTAGGTGTGTTTTGATGTGAAGAGTTGTGGCGCATATGTAAACGTTGTTTTTATGTACATCGAAAATCGGGCCGTCCTGCAGCAGCAGCAGCAGCAGCAGCAGCAGCAGTGATACATAGCAACGGTACTCTTCACACCACCCCCTCACTGGGTCATCCTGTCTGGTGTTTATTTTGATCGGTTTCGAGTTGAACGAGTTTCACACCAGGACGTGGAGTGCAACGGGTCGGGTCAAAAGTGGCGAGATACATGCACCTTAAATTTCTTGACACAAGTAGATAGCTTGTACGTTTTCAGCCAGTGGCTGGTAGGGGTGATGGTCGCCACATCTGCACGTGTGGACAGGTGCTGTTCGTCGCTCCCAGATCTACATACCTGCAGCCATTGTTGTAGTGTTGGCTTCCCCCTGTTGCTGCTGCTGCTGCTGCTGCTGCTGTGCCAACGGACTGCTGTGGTACCCTGTACGTCGGTAATCATGCGTTCACTGCTGTAGTATCTGGTGCAGCAGCAGCCGCTGCAGTGGTACCCTTGTTGAACGTGCTCTATGTTGTCCCTCGCGGCCATGTTTCACGTCTCTGAAATCTGAGCTTGCTGTTGCTCCTGCTGCTGCTGCTGCTGCTGCTGCTGCTGCTGTGATGTTTTATGGCCTCGGTGTGGTTTCGGGCGTGGAGGTGCCCTCTGCCAACCGGTCCGGAAAGTCCGGGCCTGTGCACCACAGCAGGGCCGCCCTTATGTGTGAGTAACTCTCGCTTTTCGCGCTGCCGGTGCGGCCGCTGCTGCTCATATTGCTCCCGCTGCCGCTGCTGCTTCTGTTACGGCAACTAGCTACTGCTGGTTGACACAACTACACATCTGTTCACACCTTGTACTATATACCTCACATAACAGCACGTCTGTGGACGTAACGCAACTACATGTTGTTGTGGCCGTCCACATTTTCATACTTCACAGCGGTGCGATCGGTGCTGCTATGCCTTCTGCTTCAACGGCACCGTACCCGCCACCCGTCCCCCGCAGAAGGTATCCTATGTCGAGGAAACCCTGTTGACGTCGTCACCCCCTGCCATTCTCGCTCGGTTGGAATCGGCGGAGCAAGCCTTCGGCTCGGCGGAGCAAGATCTCGGAGGCGCGTCCGGGCGTCGCGCCTCCGAGATCTGGATCTGCCGAGCCGAAGGCTTATTCCGCCGATTGCAACCGAGCGAGAGTGGCAGGGTCCGACGACGTCACCAGGGTTTCCTTGAGCGCGGATGCCTCCTGCGGGGGACGTGTCAGTCCCGCAGAACTCATGTGTGGGCAATGCTATGGCAGAAGGAGCAGAGACACAATTTGCAGCAGCTGCTACCCTGAATCGTTGCCACCATCGCCGGGCGCCACAAGACC